GGGGGTGAGGGGGGGGCTGTGTGGTGCTTAACCGTTAAACCGACCCCGTTAGGATGTAAGCGAGCTCCGAGGAGGCCAGAGCAGCCGTGTGGAAAACGAGGACGCTTGGATCTCTTAACTCTCAAGTCAAAACCTGTAAGAATCGCCGGTAAAGTCGGTGTTTTACATACCTGACGGCTTCCGCAGGTGCTCTGCTTCAGAGGCACCCGGCATGTAACCGCTTGTTACAAAAAGGAGGAAAAAAATACAAAAAAATGTAGCCCCTTGGTTTTATTTTATAGGACTGAAGCAGCTCGTAGCCCCTTGATTTTATTTTATAGGATTGAAGCAGCTCGTAGCCCCTTGATTTTATTTTATAGGATCGAAGCAGCTCGATGCCCAGATGTGGTTGTGGCGCAAATAGACCCCAAAAAATTGAGAAAGAAGCAGACGGTAAACATTTCGGTAAGTTCACGAGCTTTAACGTGTTTTGGTTTGAGAGAGAAAAAAAAAGGGGGGGGAAGGTGTTAATGTCTTAATAATAAATACTAATTTGGGGGAGTAGTTGGCATAACTAAATAGCACTGCTGGATTTAGAAAGCATCCACAGCATTAAATTAAATGCCTGGGTTTGAAGAAACATCTGCTCAGCTGCTGGCTAACAGTAGGCTTTATAACTGATTTAAATTGATACTATCCATACTATTTGATATGCAGCAGATTGGTTTACTGTCTGAGGAAATCAAATGTTGCATTAAATTTTACAAATACTTAATCATAAAACCTGCATAACTTTAGAAGAAAGGTATCTCCATACCTGTATTTAGGTTTAAATATATACCTAGGGTAAGGGTCGTAACTGCAGTGAAGCTTTACTACAGTTAAATTAAGTTCTTGCACCACTTCTTTTTTGGTGGAATATTCTACTGAAATTCTTCCTTACTGCCCAAGCAGCTTTTTCTGTTGTCACATTGCCCTGTCAGCTTGTTTTTTAATCTGCTTTCAGATAGTTCAAGAGACCAGGTTTGCCTTTCTCTAGTGAAAACTCTGTAATCTGAAATTTCACTACTGGATTGCCCGAGACACGTTTCTAGTACTGACATGACCATGTAACTTCTGCAACCATTCTCTTCATTTGTCTCGTTTCTTCGTAGTGGCATTCTTAAACATTTGTAGAAAGGTTGTTTCTTATTTGGTTTTTTTTTTTAAACAACTCTTTCATGCTAACTTTTAAAGAGGTCATATTTACTTAACTATCAGAGTTAATTTCCTAAAAGATATTTTTGTGGTCTTCTGTCTTCCTCAACGTATTATCTTGGAAGTAGAACACCCAAGATTCATAGCATCTGTCCAAGGTGAGGAAACGGCGCCCTACTTTTTATAAACAGGGAGTATAAAGCAGAACAATTGCTAAAAAGACAACCTTAAATAATTCTTTGACAATGTATTTTGGATGCTTAGTTTTCCTTCTTATTTGCATATAAGGAGTCAAACAGAAGAAATTTTGTCTAAACCAGGTGCAAAGTCAGTCTTGAATGTGGTCATGAAATTACCTTTCTTAAATGAAGATTTAAAGGATGTTGTTTACCTGATAGCAAACATTTACTGATTCTCTTGTTCTTAAGGATTCTTCTTATAAAGCTTTCTTTACATTATAATTATTGCCAGTGTCTTCTTAGATTTCTGGATGTCAGCCTGCTCCTGAAGGATACTCTCCAACGCTCAAGTGGCAGCAGCAACAAGTGGCCAATTTTTCAGCCGTTCGTCAGGTACAAAATGGTGTGGGTACGGGAACATACACTGTCTAGACAGAACACATCTGTGCTTTATGGGGGATGACCTTATATCTAGTATAGAAATGTTATGACTTTATGGTAGGACAGATGTTTGTAGGCAAATGTTTCAAATTCTTGAAAAAGAATTGAGTATCTACTGTGTGGCTTTTAAACCTCTGATAAAACGTTTGAGAGAGTCATGTTTTAAAAAAAAAAATCACCTTCAACTTCAGCAAAAATATCTGTCAGTATTTAGATTAAATGATACAGAGTAGCTGAGGGAGGACAAAAATCCCTATAATGTTATGCAGGTAGATTAAAACCTAGTGCTAGCAGAAATGTTCCGCAGAACTCAACATTTGCTGAAAAACGAGTGGATTCTAACCCACTGCGAGATTCATGTATGTAGAACACGCTGTCCATTTAGGCTACTGTTGACAGTGGTGGCACCCATTATGAGGAGAAATACTGATTTGGTAAAATGTATTTGTAAGGCTGTAGCGTTGGCACAGACTTAAATCATTCCTACTGCATTTGCACCCTGCACTTACATAACAGAACAAAAATGGAGAATTGATCAGTCTCTCTCTCTCCACAGTCCAAACAGGTTAAAATGCAAAACATAATAAAGATGTAGGCAGAGATCATTTGTGACCCCAGTACTGCGGAAGGCATGTTTACAATACAGTGCAATTGATACGGCATTGTAGGAATACCTCAAGTAACTGAAGTATAACCAACTGCACGGAAGCTGCTGTAGCACTGGACTCGTGAGCTCATTTAACCCTGTTTTTTCAGGGAAGTAAATCAATGAAGGTGGGGATCTGTACCACTGCATCTACATTGTGAACATTAGCTGAGTTAGCACGTATTTCTACAAGGTATCACGTTGCACACTGCGTTTTAGCTGTAATCTAAGGTTTTAGTAGAACTAAGGAAACCAACATTTAAAGGCATATTCACTGTACAGATATTTCTTTTATACACAAATCAGTTGTCCTCTCATCTGTGCCAGAATTAATGCTGTGAAGTATGAGAATATCCTAAAAAAACTTTATAATAAAAAAGAACATCAGAAGTCACTTGTTCAAACACTACCCATCAGCTACTGTTACTTAGGGCGTTTTTAGTGGTCATTTTTACTGCTACAATAATAATTGGATTGGGGGAAAAATGTCTTCTGTTATAAAAAGTTTACACCTCTGTACAGGAAACTATCAAGCAGGCCAATTTGTCTTATATGGTATCCCTGTCAGGTAGAAGAAATATACTAGGAAGGCACGTTTGCCATATTTCTGACAGTTCTGCAGACATTTGATACAGCTACAGACCACTGTTGGAAAGAGGGTATTGGCTTTATGTGTGCTTTTGGACTAAATAATTTTTTTTTCTTAAGCTTGTTATACCAAGAAAAGTCTGGAAGACTTATTACAGCTTACTACCTCAACTTAACTTTACGTAGTAGACTTTAAAATGCGTTCAGCTCTGATGCTACTTCCAAAAACCCAGCATGAGTAACTTAGTTGCGTTTATGTTAAGAGGCACAGGAAGTATTTAGCCAGTTAAGCCTCTACTGACTTACAGAGCATCATAAAACACACTTTTTATACATTTCAAGAATAATGAAGAGCAATTACAGGTAGGGTAAAATAACTGCAAAGTTGAACCGTGTCTTGGCTTTGTTTTAATTACTCAGAGCCTGAACAAGCACAGAAATCACTGGCGGTCACAACATTTGGACAGCAATGTTACTATGGTGAGTAGAATTTGTAACAGTGCTGGGGAGGGAGAGGGGTCATTCATTAAATCCATGGCTAATCTTGCTTTACCGTTAATGCAACAACTTGTGAATATTATCAAGTCTTTTCTTCAGTGTGTTCAAGGTAGTAACTTTTCAGTTTTCTCTCTTTCTTTTTTTTTTTTTAACTTCAGCCAAAATCAGAGGATGAAGAAGGCTGGAAGAAGTTCTGCCTGGGTGAAAGATTATACTCAGAAATAGATGCGCTATCTGATAATGAGAATCTAGGAATTGATTACATAAAGGTGAGTATAGGACTTCTAATTTTCAGCTGCTCTTTTCAAGAATAGCTGCCACAACCAATCCTACTGTTTATTACCACTTTGGGCTAAATAGAAAGTGGGCTCTGGTGAGCCCAGAAAGTCCCGGGTTTTTTTCTTCCCTTTTAAGTGGAAAATGAGTGAAGCAGAGAACAAGTCCATCGCTTCAGTCAAAAAGTTGAAGAGTTCCTTCACCTGTTATCACCTAAAGCACACTACTTTGCTGCTTGCTGAACTGAAAGCTTTCTGTGTAGTCTGCTTTAGTGTGTTGTTGAATGGTGATACATGCTTCCTCTCCTCATACGCACTATCCTACAAACATGCCCTTCACCACAGCATTTTGAAAAACCAAAACTTTAAACAAGTAACAGTAAAAGCAACGTTCTTTGATACCAGATTTAACTGGACCTTATCTTGAACTTGCTTGAAGATTTTTTTTAAATAGATTTCAAAGCTCAGAACACACTTCCAAATCACTACAAATATCTGAGCATCACATTAAAATGTTGGTATGTTCTAAATTAGAACAAAAATGTTTATGACAATGTCTGCATTTTCCAACTTAATTTTTTTCCAGGTGGGCTTTCCCCCTTTGCTAAGTATTGTAAGCAGAATGAATCAGGTAAGCCTACCTCTCTATGACACTGCATAAATCCTTACTTCTCATATTCTGTCTGTTGCAGAAGTCTTACCTATTTTTCTGTGCTAGAGTAGGCACTTAGTTACTACCACTGCTAGTCATTGTACACTTACAAGGAAAACATGTAATCGTTGTCTCATCTTCAGCTTCAAAAACCTTTACTAGCCAACATCTATCATGACCAGTTTTAAGAGTATTTTGTCCCTGTAATTTCTCTATAGAACATTTCATGTTTGAATTTTTGCTGAATGCCCCGTTAGGTGCTTGACAGCGTTTCAAGATCTCATTTAGTGTTTTGTGTGCAGTCCTTCAACTTGATTGTGAACTCTTGCATACATTGCAAGGCTAGAAGAATCACACTTACCTTTCCTTTACTACTGTGTTTCCCACCAGACACCTTCACACGGAAACAACCAGTCAGTGTGATGCCTCTTCCCTAATCTAGCTACTTATCCAGAATGTTTTGTTAACACAGAAAATTACTTCATTTTATATAAAGTTCTTTCCAGGAACTGGTGCTTTAACACTTACTTTATACCCTTTTATGTAACTTCAGCCTGGAATAAATACCATATAGGATCACAGTGGAGTAGAAATACATAATGCGTAGATTTTTCAGAAATCACATTGCTTTTTATATAACACAATCCGCTGGGTAGAAGGACAGCAAAACAAAACATTGCAGGTATTGTATTGTCTCTTTCTGTTCCTCTTTTGAAGGCAACAGTAACCAGTGTGTTAGAATACCTGATAAGCTGGTTTGGAGAGAAAAAATTTACTCCAGAACTGGTAATTTTTAATTTATTCTAACTGCTTGCACATGAACGCGTGAAATGAGATAAATTGTTCATAGTTTTCTATGAAATTATTTTAGCTTCTAAAGAGTTCTCTGGATGCTTGTATCATATTCAGTTACGTTCAAAACTTTCTTGATTAGATGCTAAAATGAGTATTCATAGAGCTTTTTGGCAAGGCCAATTACAAAACGTGACAGATAACAGATCTGTCAAGTACTGTCAAAACCCCCTTCCCTTTTTATGCTCCCCGCACTAACTTAAACCAGAAGGTCTGGTGAGTAGTGGTGCTGGGGAGAGAAGGAGGTCAGGCTGCAGCAGCTTTGGTTCTGACCAGTTTAAGGTGTCAGGGTGCTGCACGCTGTACTTACTGACACCTCCATTTTAGTTTGGAGATGCGTGGCAGCGTGCTGGCAAAGATACGTTTAATCTTTCCATGTGCAGCACAGACCAGAAAGCTTAGCTGCATTAGGGTGGTTACAAATCAAACCTAGTAAGAAATTCTGATTGACAGGGTGCATTAGCATGGAGTTTGGCCACAAGTAGACTGACTAGCAACATAAAGGCATCGTATCTACAAAAGACCTTGGTGGATGCACCTCATCTCATTCAGTACCATAAAGCAAGAGAGTAATGAAAAATTACTTCCATAATACTGAAGTCACTATTTTTGAGTGACTTAAATACCTTTCATGTTCTGTCCTTTTCTGCAGGACTGTTTTCTTTTTAACCAATATGCTGCAGAGAATGTGCACATTGACTTTTAGTTTATGCCCATAATGAAAGCCACTAAATTAAGAAGTTGGACTGGTGGCAGAAGTTCGTTTGTAGGAATGCAGTAGAAGTCAGTGAAGTGCAAAGGACGTGTTTCAGTGGTGCAAATCTTAAAGCTGATGTAAGAGCACTAATTCCACAAAGATCTGACTTGATGCATTCACTCTTCAGGAATGTTTTTCCACAGCTTGTGAAGTTAAAAATTAATAGCTAACTAATAATCTTTCCATATCACTGAAATAATCCTTCCCTCAGACTTTAATAGTGTAAGCTGTATTAATTTATATCTTGTCCAGTATTCAAAAAAATATCAGGAAATCCAGGAGTACTGCTCACAAGCAGCTTATTTAGGCACAAAATATTAGGCACAAAATTCTACTGCATAGTGTCTAATTTGGCTTTCAAACTTTTAAATGCTGGCACTAGCACTTAAGTGCAATTTAAGAGTTTTGCGACCTATGCTCCAGGCCTGCTTTGTATAACAAAAACTGCATGAAACTTCAAGGAAACGCTCACAATTAAAACTTCTGTTATTTGAATCCCCACAGGGTAGATGGCTTTACGCACTGCTGGCATGCCTTGAAAAACCTTTGCTACCTGAAGCTCACTCCCTTATTCGACAGCTGGCAAGACGATGCTCAGAAGTCAGAGTACTAGAGGTAAGATTTTAATATAACATTGTGCAAAGGACTTGCTGAACTTAGCAAATTATTAGGAGGATGATTTTTCAGTTCTTGAAGTCTTGGTAAGTAATTTTTCAAGAACAAAGGGCAGACTACAAGCATGCATCATGGCATGTGACAGCTTTTCTATTTGACACAGGTAAAAGAACTGTTCTAATACTTACTTCTCTTCCAGGAGAACAAGAATGAAGAACAGATATCAGCTCTGAACTTGATAATCTGCTTAGTTAGCAGGTAATGCAACTTACGTACCTAAAACAGTAAAATATGTCCAGAATAAATGTGTGATTACTCTTGTCCTAACTTAGATTCTTCTAAAGCGGAAGCCAATTAAAGTACCGTGGGCCTGTGTAGCAAAGATACTTAGCTAAAAGGACTTAAGATAAACCTAAGAGTAAAGTAAGCTTATTGGTTTCCTCAGATGAGTCCCCTGAACTGCAAAGCTGTAATTATGGTTGATAGAAACACTGAAAGAGCCAGAAAGCAAGGGGTCTAACAACTCAGAGCAAAGTAAGGTTTCTTAGTGTATTCCACTTCTCTTCATTAGGTACTTTGACCAACGTGACCTTGCTGATGAGCCTTCCTAGACTGTTCTGAGAATATCATGTATTTTGCATTGCCATAGTACAAACAGCATTATCAGAGTTAAGAGCAAAGACCCTGCACCGTTCAGACCTGAAGTACTGTACAGCTGCTTCAGAACACCCTCATGATAATGCATTTGGGACAGCTACGAATAACAAGCTGAGCTTTGGCATAAGATTGTCAATGTCTCCAATAACATCATCACCGTCATAAAATGGTCAGTGAAGTGTCTGGCATCATCTCTCAAGCTGCTGTCTCCGTAAACTACGTTTCTTGGTTAGAAATTTCTGCCATCAGCAGTGTCCACAGGATTACTACTACGTTTCTTGGTTAGAAATTTCTGCCATCAGAGTAATCCTGTGGACACTGCTATTAGGTGAAGCCTGAGGTTACATTACAAATAATTGTTCCTTATCTAACACACACCTACTGAGGGCTTTTTTAATAAAACTGAAGCATTTTAGTGTTCTTAAACATTGTGGCTTTTCTCTTTCTTCATACTATTTACCAGCAGCCTTACTACAGGAATTTACACAACTAAGACTGCATTTTTTTCAAGCTTTGGTTCCTGAGCCAAAGCACTGCTAAGCAGTTCACCTATAGCCAGCAAGTTACTGAAACAATTATTTTAGTAAAACATAAACATTACTGCTTCCTGAGTAGTAATAGCACTATTTTTAGTAAACAGTTGCAGAAACCAGTGAAAGTTACACAGCTTTATTTGATGCTTTTAATGGAAGCATTTATAAAACAGAATGAGGATAGTTATTTTCTATATGGTATCTTGACAAATATATTAGCTCACCTATTTATATATTTAACATGGAGTGTTTTGCCAAGAGTATCAGCATCTGCTTGGTGCATACATGACTCCCCCTGGTTCTAATTACTTTCAACAATTAAAAATCCATGTTAAAAGAATTATGAGTTCTGCTGATAGCAGGGAATGGATACACAGCATTAACTGACATCTGCTCTTTTTATATTGTAGAATTTAAGTCCCTTGCTATTAAAAATAGTCATTAACCACAACCACTTATGGATAAAACTTTAATATGTCTTTGAATTTCAGATTGGCACTTTTGCATCTGGAATGGCAGTCTTAACTGTCAAGTGAAAAATCAAAATGAATTACAGTAACTACTAAAGTTTTAATTCTGGAGATGCAAGTAACAGATTCTGTAGATGTCGATGCTGAATGCCTGCTGCACTGCAGATGCCTAAAATGTGATGACATTGAAATGTCCACCTATTAGACACACAGCACAAGCTATTTCTAGTCTCTCTAGTAACACTGTCAGCATGTTGAAAGCAGGATGAATTGACAAGTGAAGAACCCATGAACTGCAAGAATATGAGGTAGCTGATTCTCTAGCCTGACAATTTCAAACAAATCTGAGTTACAAAGGTAAACAACCACCACAGCCTTCCTATAAATTGCCAGTGTAAGAACCCAGTGTTTTTAGTCACACAGCTGATCCCCATCGAGTACCATACTGCCGTAGTGCCTTTCATCTTTGCTAGTTCCATATACAGTGGGACAGCATTCTATTCTGCTAGTGCGAATTCTGCTCTAGGTGCTTCCTAGAACTGTCAAGTTACTCAGATACAAGTAATCTGAACTAGCACTCGTAATACCTGAAAAGATCAGAATTTGGTCACATCCTAAGCTCAAGTGTAATAAGCCCCTGGTTATCACATTTACAGTCTATAGCCTGCCAGCTTGTAACAGCTATCTAGAAAAGGCTTGATCCATTACAAACTTCAGGCCTTCCCTAGAGCTTAGGGAAGAACAGCTTCCACTGTTCTTGCCCACCATGCAACTGGACAATATATACTCCTCCCAACACAGAAGGTAGTTGCAGCAATCAAAGGTGCTATTTTAGCATGTTGGCTTTTCTACTCAGCCCCTTATTTACTGGTCTCAAAGGAGAAACTGAATTGCTATCACAGGGCATTTCTCACATGTGGTGGCTTGACCCTGCCTGGACACCAGGTGCCCACCAAAGCTGCTCTATCACTTCCCCATCTCAGCTGGACGGGGGACAGAAAATATAATGGAAGGTTCATGGGTTGAGATAAGGACAGGGAGAGATCACTCGGCAATTACCATCACAGGCAAAACAGACTCGACTCAGGGAAATTAATCTATTACCAATCAAATCAGAGTAGGGTAATGAGAAAAAAAATCTAAACCTTAAAACACCTTTTCCCACCCCTCCCTTCTTCCCAGGCTCAACTTCACTCCCTATTTTCTCTACCTCCTTCCCCTCTGAGCAGCACAGGGGGGATGGGGAATGGGGGTTACGGTCAGTTCATCACATGTTGTCTCTGCTGCTCCTTCCTCCTCAGGGGCAGGACTCCTCACGCTGTCCCTGCTCCAGCCGGGGGTCCCTCCCCCTGGACACAGTTCTCCACAAACTTCTCCAATGTGAGCCCTTCCTACAGGCCGCATTTCTTCACAAACTGCTCCTGCGTGGGTCCCTTCCATAGGGTGCAGTCCTTCAGGAACAGACTGCTCCAGCCTGGGCTCCTCTCTCTATGGGGCCACAGGTCCTGCCAGGAGCCTGCTCCAGCACCACCTTCCCACAGGGTCACAGCCTCCCTCGGGCACATCCACCTGCTCTGGTATGGGGTCCTCCCCGGGCTGCAGGTGGAGATCTGCTCCACTGTGGGCCTCTATGGGCTGCAGGGGGACAGCCTGCCTCACCATGGGCTGCACCAGGGGAATCTCTGCTCCAGCGCCTGAAACACCTCCTCCCCTCCTTCACTGACCTTGGTAGTCTGCAGGGCTGCTCCTCTCATGTCTTCCCAAGTTGAACAGGGTTTTTCTTTTTTCCCCTTCTTAACTATGCTACGCCAGAGGCACTACCACCATCGCTGATGGGCTTGGCCTTCGCCAGCAGTGGGTCTGTCTTGGAGCCAGCTGGTGTTGGCTCTGTCAGACACAGGGGAAGCTTCTGGCAGCTTCTCACAGAAGCCAGCCACCCCTGCAGCCCGGTGTCTCCCAAACCCTTGCTGCACAAACCCAATACATCACACTTCTGAATAAACATCATAAGTTTCTATTGTGATTCATCTGAAAGTACAAGGCCTGAACCTGCCAACAGAAAAGTCTTATGGCAAAATTCATTGAAAGTTTTAACAAGATGTTTTCATGCTTACCTACAGCAAGATACGTATTGTTATGCAAATCTTGTAACAAGTAGTATCTAGCAAACCCCAATGTCCTCAAGAGTCTTGGTGATGTCTTTATAGCTTCTCGCAGGCCTAACCATCTTCCTGCACACACTCATTACAGAAGTGAGTTGTAGCTAGCAATTAAAGACAATTATGTTAATATGAAGTTTATGCACAACAAGCTAAAACAAATCTCCTTCTTTGGCCAGTACAGATGACCTTAGCTGTAAAATTACTCTGACACAAAAAAACCCAGCTGCTAATTTTAAGAAGGCAGGAGAAACTGTTTAATAACTATGTAGAAATAAGTTCTCTTTTCTACTGCCCTGTATCATTCCTACAAAGGAACTAAGCCTCCACTGAACACCGACTGTTCATTCAGGTGCTAATGACTTCCTCAGAGTAATACGAAAACAACTGCTGCCTCACAGTTCAGAGCAAATAGGGAAAGGTAGCAGGTGAGCATTCATGTTAGGTGACACAAAACACATTAGTTTCCTTCTCCAGCTTAGTCTTGGTCAGGCTTTTACTCTGTTCTCAAAACCAGTGCCTCTGGTCTTTCATACGTGCTGTTTTGGCAATTGAAATATTTGGCTGAAAACTTTTTGAGTAGACAGTTTTTACCATGTGGACATCAATACCTTGGTACAGAATACATTTCATACCAAGATAAAAGGATAGTGTTAAGTTATTTTGATGAATATTTATTATATATTTTGGAATTGTGCTGCACACTGCTGTAATTTACAAGCTACATACAAAGCTGACCCACACACAAAAGATGTTTAAGGTAGATACCCAGTTTTGGATATGCTCTACATCTTCTGTATCATCACCTGGAATTTACCTAATAAAAAAAAAAAAGCAAAGTCAGAACAAAGTATCACCATTAGAGTTATTTTTCCAAGTAATTATTTTCTTGTAATCATTCTGTTAAAAGAAATAGTAACATTTCAATCTTACAGTTTAGTTGTGAACAATCTAGCCATTATTTAAATTTAGCATTTAAATTTAACTCCAGCTGAACAGCTTTTTCTTTTTTTTTTTTCTTTAAGTTGATCCACATCCCACATCACAACAGTTCTATCAGCTAAATTTAAGATTTGTGCAAAGTCTGTGGAAATTTTTAGATTCACCTTAAGCAGCTTGGGTGGTTACAATAGAACTAACTTTATTAATGACTTCTGTAGAAAAAGAGCATGTATCTAGTTGTTTTTACCTTCACTCATTTAAACAGCCCTCTGGACATACAACCTTATGTACCTGATGCTTCCAAATGCAAATACAAGTTTTTAGTTTTGCTTTCCACTCAGAATCATGGGGGTTCACCCTCTGTCAGTATTTCCTAAAAATACTGACAAGCCATATCCTGAAGTTCAAACTGACTCCTGTGGCCCAGCATCTTCGAACTAATCCCACCTTGATAAATGCTTATACAGTGATGACATCAGTAAGGGAAGTTACCAAGTGAGCTAGTTATTGAATACTCCAAGAACTACTTACATGCAGGCATTGATGAAACTTCAGCTGTTACGATACTCTTTATTCCCAAGTTTGATAGGCCTCCTCTGATTAGTCCACAGGTAAATGCTAAATACTAAATATAAAGTTGCACATTAAGTAAGTGTCAAGGGTGAAGCTTGTTGCTAAGGATTGAAATTAAGTACTCAAGAACAAGACCTAACACTTGGACAATATGGAACTACAGAGGTTTTGTGACCGTGTTTGAGAGACTTCATCACGTCTCTAGTAAATGAAAGCTCCGATATTTGGTGCAGTGGAGCTCACAATACAGATTTTTCTTGTTAGAGGCACTATCTTGAGTCACTTGTTTCTATTTCCATTAAACTGGTAGGAACTTACTGTCCTTAAAACAATTATTGCCAAGACTTGACTGAAATTAGCAACTGGTATTAGAGTCAATGAAGGAGAAACAGTCCAAGATAGCATTCTTGCATGAACCCATCTTAGAATACAAGGGCCTGCAGATATTTACAATACATGTTGCAAAACAGAAGAAACATCTCACCAAACACCAAAAAAATTCCCAAGGACAGTAGCCTGCAACTGTGATGACTAAAGAGATCAAGAATTAAGAAACCATAAAATGGAGCTGATTGCCCTGTTTCTCACATCCACCTGAACCAAAGTGCTTTGTAAGAGGTTCTGTAGAGGCACTAATTTTACTTAGCTAAACTACTACCCTAACTCACCATCTACACTCAAAACTATTTTTAGTTGGTGGAAGATCTTTCTGAATGTTTATATAATCTCAGAAGCCTGTTCTAGGTAACAAATAGCATCTTCCAAATATGTTTTGGGAATTTCAAAAAAGCTTCTCAAAGCACACGCTTTCCAAAGAGAAAGAACCTGTGTGATAGTGGCAGACCATCAAGTAACTCAAACATGACAACATCAAGTTTCACGATGACTATGACTGTTTCTTAAACCATAAATCAAATCCACTGTTCCAAAACAAGACGCATTTCTAAAAAGCGTATGTTTTTGAGACTAAACTTCAGCTGCCCTTTTGAAGACTTTGTATCCATTCAATTACAAAATTTAATGTTATTATTAATAGATCAAGATAATTCAAATCAAACTGGTCAATCCCAAGGATAAAATTGAAGGGTACCTTTGGAGCATGTTCTAAATACTGCTTTCCTGCAGACATTTGTGTCAAGAGACGAAATTTATTGTCTTGAAGGACATAAATACCCTGGTTAAAAAAGAAACAGGGGGGTTTAGTTGAATATGCAGTAACATGTCATCAACATTTTATGTGAAGGGATTTGATTTGTAGATACAATATAAATGTTCTCCGGTTGAAAAATGAGATTTTAGATTAAGGCATATGTGATTTAAGCTCAAACTGTATTATCTAGTTACATGAAATACCAAAACAAAGGAAGATACTTAGTTGTGAGTTTACAACAAAACCCCTAGATGATAATATGATCAGTTAACCATTAAAAAATGTTTATTTACATTCTTCTTGGAAGAGTCTTTCCAATGCTCAGAAACAATAGTACCATATTAGAAAGTCTTCGTTAGTATATCAAATGCATTCTCATTTTTACATTCAAATATTAATCTTCATTTGGCATGCAATTCACTATTCTTATTCTCAAATTCTGTGAGAATTATCTTCTTTAATAGAAATGCAGGCAGCAACACCCAGCAGATGATCAAATTAAGTCTAGTGTTTTCTACATGACAATTTTGTGCCACAATATGCATTTCAATAAATTAAATATGAACACAGTACAGCTTAATCTACATCTGTCACTTTAATTTCTTTGCTAATGACTGTGCTGCTTTGAAACTTCATAACCCTTGAAATTAAATTAAAGCTGCATATGCAATTGAGACCTAAGCTCAATACTGCAGCTTTCTTTGAATTCAAAAACAGATTTCTAAGGTAATTATTATCTGTTAAAAGTTCTTACTTGATAGACAACTCACTGAAAAGTAAAACCTATTTTATTTGGCACAACCCTTGTACAAATTCTTTTATTCCTATTTTGATACAACAGGAAAATGGCCATAAGAAAACCAAGTCATTCAAAAGGAAAAAGGTTTTTTTATTCTAATAAAATGTCTCCTTAAATCTTAGATCTTGCTTTAAGAACTATGACTGCTGATATAGGAAAGGACACAGATACAACACAATGTCACCAACATGCAAATCTGGGAAGTTTTTCAGCTGTTTCTTATACAAGTATATTCAGCAGAGTGCAACTGAGTGTCTCAACTGCTGAAAACTGTAAATATTCTTCAAAATAAAAATAAATAAAACTTCAAGGCAGCCATTCTATTTAAATTGATGCTAAGACAACAATATCACTTTCTCACACTACTTTTCTACTAAAATTTATTGGGAGATACCTAAAAAAAGTTCCTGTTTAAGTGATAATCAACTGTAACCGTTACTGTCCTGTCAGTTTGTAACTCTGCAACAGCACATATGAAATTCAAAGCATTTAGCCTTTTGAAATGGGGCTGGCAATAAAGACATCACAAGCAAACATTAAATTGCACTCTGAAGCTTCATGATAACATGAACCATAGAAGTCTGCTTTTTAAACAAAACAAAGAACAGTTTGGGTTTCTTACCAGGTAATTAATTCTAGACCAAGAAAAACAAAAAATGTGCTAGTAAATCAAAACTGTTGCTGATGTTGTAAGTTAAATCTTACTCTACAGCATTAGTACCTGATGATTAGTCCTTAGGTTATCTATTTGTTTTTTGAATACAGTGGTCCAAAAATCTTTGCAAATGAACTTCATAATATCTAATTCATCCTTGAACCTGGCAGTATCTTTTGTAAACCTAAGAGATAAGTGAGAAATACATCAATAATGAAGGTACACACAACTTGACCAATTAAACAGAAAAAGAAAATACAAAAATATGGTACTACACAGCGTTATTTTTGAGGCTGTTATAGAAATTAGTTTTACAACCATTGTACAGAATCATTCTAGCATCGCTCTGCATTCAAGTATTTTAACTTCAGAGCAACATAGTGTTATCTTAATACCTGCAACATGACAGCAGAATAAATGGCAATAGTTATATGATTATTGAAAACAGGTGAAAGTACAGAAAGATGCAAAGCACTCCATCAGTTTTATCAACTAAATGTCTAAATAGAAGATAAACAAAAAGCTCACACCTATACTACTATTTGGAAGGAGTCCTTCAAATAGGCAAAAAAGCCTAACACAGGAACAAACACGGAAAACTTGTTCCTGTTTCCAAAAACGGGACCTCTTTCTCTTGCTTATTTCAGAATTTTCTCCCTTTATCCTCCTTGAGGGTCTTTATCTGGCACTAAAGCACCACTTTGTTCAATGAAAACGTGACTTCAGAAGCTCAAGAGCCTCCACAGCACCTCAGAACGAGGGTGCTGAAGTTGGATGTGCAGCAAGTCATCATGCATTCCCCAAAGGGCCTGGGGAAACAAGGAGGCAACATGCTCAGTTGTGAAGTTCCAAGGACTGAGAGTGCTTCGGAAAAACGAAACAGAAGAGCCCATCATGAAGTTAGAAAGAGGAAAAAAAAAAAAAAAAAAAAAAATCACAAAACATACCAGAAGTAGGAAACATATAAATGCAGGTCTACAAAAAGTGCAATTAAAAAGGACTGTAAGTATTAAAAGTAACCATATACCGTCTCAGTTTTCATGATGGAAAGCACTGGGAAAACACATACTCCAAAACCGTCCTGTGGTATTCAAACACAGGTCCCCGCAAGGGCGGGACACCAAAAGACAGGGTGCCGGAACATACAACGAGAGGAACGCATCCGCGGCGCAGGTCTACAAAAAGTGCAATTAAAAAGGACTGTAAGTATTAAAAGTAACCATATACCGTCTCAGTTTTCATGATGGAAAGCACTGGGAAAACACATACTCCAAAACCGTCCTGTGGTATTCAAACACAGGTCCCCGCAAGGGCGGGACACCAAAAGACAGGGTGCCGGAACATACAACGAGAGGAACGCATCCGCGGCGTAACCCTCTGCCCTCCCAAAGCAGCGAGCAGCTTTCCACCGAGCCGGCGAACACCCCTGGCCCCCGCAGGCCGGGAAGGAGGGGGCGCGGGCCCTCGC